GGAGGTTAAATGCTGCATACTACTAGAATACAGATGCTAGCTTATTTTGTGGGTTTTGTTTATTTGTGTGGCTTTAATATTAAAAAAAAAACAAACATTAAGCAACTTTAATTGCCTTAAAGATGAATTCGTAGAATTCATGTTAGAGTTTATTGTCTGCCACAAAAGTCTAAAGAGCCAAACTTGGTGAGAATCTTTTTTTCTTACTTTACCGGCAATGTAAAGTTCAACAATAAAAAAAAATTTTGTTTGTCTTCGCAAATAAACAAAATAAAAAGTTATTATAGCCTAAGATTTATTATAAAGATTTTGAAATCTTAGATTTATGACTTGCTATATGATAATCGTGCATTTTATTGCTGGCATCCAAAAAAAAAAAAAAATAAAAACACAAAAAGTTTCTATATATTAAGGAAAATATTATTGTTATTTTTAGAAGAAATTCTAGAGGTTTCAACAACAATACAACATATTTGTATTATGCAAGGTTTTGTTTTACCATTATTAGTTTTTTTTGTTTAAAATTTGAAGTCTACGTTCTAATTTATTTAGACACACGCAACCTGTTTTATTTATAATAAATTTTGAACTTTTTTTTGACTGAATAAAATTTAATGAGAACAAATTTGCATAAATTTAGAATTGGATCAAAATTAAATATTCTTAAGACATAAATAAATTTAATTTATATCCTATTAACAAAAAAAAAATAAATTTAATTTATGCAAATTTTTAAATATTCAAGAAATTGTTTTCAAAACCAACTTAAACAGGGAGTTTTCTAGAAAACTATAATAGATTTATTGAAAACAAAACTAGATTTTAATAGAATTTGTATACTTTTTCTTAAGAAACTGGAGCATAGGTACAAGCTAAAAAGAGATTCTATTGAAAAAACTACCTATACGAGAGATTTTAAAACAAAAGCTTTAGCTAGCTGCAGATTAATACAGATAAGCTTAACTTAAAGATTTAAAGAACTTTAGATGAAAAAATTACATTTAGGAAAAGTTTTGTATATAATAAGATAGCAAAAGCTTTTGTCAAAACAAGCTTTTTTAGAAAAATTCAGACAATGAATAGGAAAACACAAGGTTCCTTCAAGAAAGCTTTTAAAAGTACACATAAACTAAATAAAAGCTCTAGCTGAAAAAAATAACATGCATGAAAAACTTTATATATGATAAGCTAAAAGAAAAAGCTTTTTTAGTTTAAAAAGTTTGTATACCAAAAAGGTATACATCTACTCGGAGGCCCAAGAGGATCCATTAAAGCAAAAGCTTTACTCCAAACTACCTTTTTTGAGAGAAATTCAGTCAACAAAGGTTTTTTATGGTAAAAAGAAAAAAGGTCACTAGTTCAGAGAAAGTTTTCTCCAAGAAAGCTTTTAAAAGTATGTACAAATAAACTAGGAAAAGCTTTTTATAGCAAAAGTTAAATGAAAAGCTTAAGAAAGCCTAATATAGAGAGAGATTAACACAGAAAATCTTTGTATATGATGTGTAAAAGCTTTGTACATGAAAAACTAGCAAAAGCTTTCCTAAACATAAATTTTCTTTAGAAAAAACTTTTGCTAAGAAAGTTTTTCTGAAGAAAGCTTCAAGGAAAACAAACCATATATACAAATTTAGCAAACAAAAGCTTTCTATAGGAAAAAGGGCAAAATGTTTTTATAAATATGTTAAGCTATTGAAAGCTATAAGAGCTTTTGGTTATAAATATAAATAATAAATAAATCCAGAGAAAGATTTAGAAAGCTTTTTAAAGCAAAACTTAAGCTTGCAAATTCTTTTCTATGGAAAAATTTAGCTAACAAAAAGCTAAATTTTCAAAGGAAATTCAAAGGAAATCATAACATTTCATAAACTTTAATAAAATAAATAAATCTTCCAAAGATTTAAACAAAACTCATTTAAAGCTCTCTCAGTATCTTTCCATTTGTCTTTCATTCAAACAAATCACATAACTTTACTCCATATCTTGACAAAATAGTTTAATTCTTGTTTTTTACTTTCCCACAAATATTCCACATTTCGTTACAATTTAAATGAATTTAAAATGACTTGAAAAAATCGTAAGAAAATTACAAAAAAAAACAGAACACACAAAATAAAATATCAACAGCAAATAAAATCTTGTTTAATAAAAACCAGTTAATAACGGTAGTTATTTAAACAAATTTAACTAACAAATAGAGTATTTTTTTATTATATCATTTTCGATTAAAAAGTCTTATAGAAACTTTACGCAACATTTAGTTTTATAAGAAAAACAAACAACAAATAAATAAACCGGCAACACGACTACAAATAAATGACAACAACTTAATTTATAACAATTTAATAAAATTAACAAAAACATTAAATTAATTTATTTTATGCCCTAAATATATAAAAATTAACAATTGTTTTCTTAAGTTAAAGTGAACCCACCTTTTTTAAATAAATTTATTTAAATTTATTTTTTTTAAAGACTAGTAATTAAATTTGAAATTAATTGCTAAAAAGTAATAATAAAATTTAATTTTAAGCTGAGACTAAAATAACTTTCGTTTCAAATATAAAAAATAAATTAATCTAATTAATTGACATTTTTTTGTGCATTCATTGTTAAAGCTTTAAATTTATTCTGTGTAGATTTATTTAATTTGAAAAAATATTCCCAAATGTTGAGAAAACGTGTCTAGAAATGTGCTTAATAAGTCAATGTGTAATGAGAAGTTTTTGTTTTTTTTTCCTAACATGTTTTTTTTATATAATAATTATAACTTTTTGTGTGTGTGTGTGTTTTTTTTTTCTGTTAAATCTTACAAAAATAATTAAGTTTAAAAACGGCATCTTCTAATGTTAAATAACGTTTGTTAATCTTTATAATTATCCCCTAGACGGATATACATATACGGGCTCTAGACTGTGTTGTGTTTTTTATTTTTGTTTTTAGAGAACTCAAATTAAGCTAAAGTCATGTAATTAAACTTTTGAAACTTACACAAGCATTTAATAAATTTATTTTTAGAATATTTAACACTTTGCGTTTTTGTTTAATAAATTAGCAAGAGGTTTCGGTAGAAAAGCAGAGGTCAGCGAAGCTTTTCTTCTAGAATGCTTTCGATAGCGGGAGATTTCGTTGCTAAAGCAAACGTAAAATTTCTTTAGAAAATCTTAAACTAGCAAGAGATTTCTTGAAGAAAGCTTAAGCTAGGGAGAGATTCTTAACTAAAGTTTAAGTTAGAGAGTTTTTTCTTTACAAAAGCTTTACCTAGCAATAGATTTCATTAGGAAAATTTAAGTTTGCGAAAGTTAAGGAAATTTCTTTATAGAATTTAGTTTAAGAAAAGCTTAGCTTAAAAGCACATTTTTTAAGAAAAGCTTTTGCTAGCCACAAAATTCCTTAAAAAAGCTTTAGCTAACGAGTGATTTTTTGGAAAGCTTAACATGACAAACTATGTTTTAAGGAAAACTTTATAACGTTCCTTATTAAGGTTTCTTAAGCTAACAAAATTATTACCTCAGAAAAGCTTAAGCTAACAAAAGATTACTTAAGAAAAGCATAAAATAGCTGAATGCTGAAAATAACCAATAATTTCTTAAGCAAATAACTGCAACAGAAAGCTTTTTTCATAATCTTACAAATAATGCAACATTTTTAAAACCTGTTGCAATTCTGCAGTTCAAAAACAAACGAACGTACTAATGTTAATTTCTGGGTATTTTTCCATTGCAAACTATAGCTTTAATAACAATCAGAAAACTGAATACAAAAATATTTCAAAATACTACTAAACTAACAACAACGACCTTGTGAAACCCTTTTTGCTAAGACTTTAGTTTCTAATACTAATAAAGGTGTGTTTAACAAAGCGAGCCTAAAAATTTCTTAACATTTTTACTACAAATTTAATTTACGCTTTCAATTGTCGTTCGTAGCTTTTCTACTACTATTTTTTATTATTATTTTATTTAATTTCACTTTTCTTTTTGTACAAATCAAAGCTGGTCATGAATTTTGCAATTTTCTATACAATTTCACAGTCCATGACAACTACATACATGTTTGACTCATGTTGAAATTGAAATTTATATACAAAAAAACAAAAAACTACTATTTCCGATATTTTCACAACTTTGCTTTACAAAATACCAATTAGTCAATGGTTGCTGTTGTTGTGTTTAGTCATGTCGTTTTCCTTTTAGGAAAAATTCAAATAATTACACGTATTTATTCTTTGACTTGTTGCTTTTGCAATTGAAAGTAATTGTAATTATAGAAATAATACTTACGGCTGGCACATTTGGGCGGGTACGGGCAGTGATAAAATCTGCCGGGTTTAGTGGAGGTGGTGGTAGTAGTTCTGGCTTGACTAATGGCAGGTTCAGCATATGTTGCTGCCACACAGAATGCAGCTAAAACCAAGGTGACTTTCATCTAAGAAAAGAAATAGAAATGAAATTAATATTAATGGATTTGTTTAAAAGTGAGTTTTTTTAAATATAATATTTTTAATTAAGTTTGCCCTTAAATGGATTATTATGGTTTTCTGGTTTTATAAGATTTTTCTGAACTACTTAGGGTATTCCTCTAAGGAAAGCTTAAACCAAACACATTTTTTTTAGGAGAACTTAAGCTAGCGAGAGATTTCTTTAGAAAAGTTTAAGTTAGAGAGAGTTTATGTTTAGGAGAACTTAATCTAGTACGCCATTTCTTTAGTGATGCTTTAGCTAGCGAGAGTTTTGTTTAGAATAGCTCATGATATTGAAAATGTTCTTAAAAAAGCTTATCGTAGCGAATATTTCTGGGGATTGTTTAAGTTAGTGATAAATTTCCTAAGGAAATCTTAGCTAGCGAGAGATTTCTTATGAAAGCTTAAGCTAGCTATTAATTTTCTTAGGAAAGCTTTAGCTATCGAGAGATTTGTTTAGAAAAGTGTAAATTGAAAGTGTTCTTAAAAAAATGTAAGCGAGAGACTTTTTACGAAAGCTTTAAAGAGCGAAATATTTCTTTGCGAACGTTTAAGTTTGTGATAAATTTCCTAAAGCTTTAGCTAGCAAAAGATTTCCTTATGAAAGCTGAAGCTAGCGATAGAGTTTCTTAAGAAAGCTTAAACCAGCGAAAGATATGTTTAGAAAAGCTTATGATAGTGAAAGTTTTCTTTAAAAAGCTTTAGGCGAGAGACTTTTTTACGAAAGCTTTAAATATCTCATAGAAACCCTTATGACAGATTTCTTTACAACAACTTAAGCTAACTAGAGATTTTCTCAGGAAAGCTTAGAGAAAGATGGCTTTTTGTCTCAAACTAAAACAGATTTTCAAATTTTTGCATTCATTTTTCTATCAAAAAATCTTGACCTCCTTTTTAAAATGTTGCAAGAAGACTAAACAACGCCTTTTTATTCAAATATTCCAAAGATATTAGAATTTGGCAATAAACCTCTTTTGATGAATGGGAACTGAAAGACTAAACAAAAGATTTAAGCAACAAACTTTTTTACAGCTTTTATGTTGATTTTTTTTTTTTTAATTATTGCTTTTATGTATAATATTTTACTAAACAGGCATGATTTTTTTATGAAATTTTTATTTAAATATTTAACAAAAATAATGATAACAACCTTATAAAATGCAAATGAAGGCAGTTTTTGTATTTAACACTTTTAAGATTTACAACGCCATTTAATAAAACTGTTTTGTTGTTATTAAACACGTCCGGTCACTTGAACGGTCAACTGTCACTCAAGCAAGTCAAATGCAAATTTTATAATGAATTGTTTATACAGCAAAGGGTGTTAATAAAAAGCCAACAACAATCTCCTCAAATTGGAACAACAACTTCAAAAGCAATAACAGCAGCAGCTTGAGTATTTAAACAATGATTAACAACTTATTGTTGCTTGTGGTCTTTGCCAGTTTAGTGATGTTGAAGATAAAATTCATAAAATGTTAATTATGTTGCTGAGAATCTGATAGCAGCAACACTTTAACAATACACTTGAAAAGTTAAAATAATCAACAACAACAACAAAAAGAAGCTTAATAATTATGCATAAACTTATTAAAAATGCAATATGCGTGATAATGGTGTGTATACGCATTGGAATCACTTTTTTTAAACACTTTTGTATGGATGAATGATTTGATTTGGCATGCCTTACCATGCTTTGGCTTGCTGGTGGTAGTGATGGTGGTTGTTTTGGTATGTAGTATATTTCCATTTACAAAAATCAAAATCAACAAACTTAAAATAGCTTTGTAGTGGTTTTTTTATGTCAAGGATGTAGATATTTTTTTATATACATATAACCGGTTAAATTATATTTTTACAATAAATATTGACAATACATTTACTACTACACCTATATATACATAGACAATATGTATAGGTGAAGAAGCTCTGGCGCTTGTTTGTTTATTGTAGCATTTTACCTGTGTGCATCTGAATTATTCTGATTCGAACAAAATTGTATTTTTTAGCCATTAAAATACTAAATGTATGAATAATAGTGGTTTTAATAAAATTTACATGCTCCTCTTTATAAGTATACATATGTGTATGTGTGTCGGTGTGCTCATCACCTTTTGCTTTGATTTAAACATGTGTATGTGTGTGTTTATGTTAACTGAGAAGAATTTTAATTTTACATGGCAGACAAATTGATAGACAATGACACCTCAATGACCTTTAAAAAAATTTTAAACTTAAATATTGAAATTGAAGACTTGACTGTGTAAGTTTCAGGCACATTTTTTGTGGTTTTTCCAATAATTGGAGGGCATTGAAGTGTATTTAATTGAAATTTTAAAGGGGAACAAATAGACTTTTACTTTTGTTTTTTGGAGTGTTTAAATAAGTTGTAGTAAACAATATGTTTAATGATTTGTTTCGGGGAAATAAAAATTTAGATTTTAAGTAGCAAGAGAAGCTTTACCGAGAAATTCTTTATCAATATTTAGAAATTTAAGTTGGAGAGACATTTCCTTAAGAAAACAGATTTTTTCAATTTCTTTAAACAAACGAAGAACTTCTTAAATAAGACTTAAGCTAAGAAAAAGCTTTAGCTAAAGCTTTCTTTAAAAAGCTTAAGCTCTTTAACTTTAATAAAGATAAAACTAGCAAGAGATTTCATAAAGAAAGCATAAGAAAGTAAAAGGTAGATTTCTTGAGGAAAGCTTTAACCCGCGAGATGTTGCTTAAAGAAAGCTTTAGCTAGCAAAAGAGCTTAAGCCGACGAGAGATTCAATAAAAAAATTTAAAATGTTGAGAGAAACACTTTTTAAGTACTAAATAGTGTTAAAAAACACTTCAAACTGGTTTTAGTACTAAAAAATTTTAACGGTTTTAAGCAACAAGTACTAAAATACTTTAAACAATTAAAAATTAATGTAAGTACTAAAAAGCATTGAAAAATTTTTTAGAACTTTTAGTACAAAACAAGTGTTTCAAAAGTAAAATATATTCAAAAGTGTTTCCCAGTACTAAAAAGCTTTAAGCTCGTTTTAGAACTGAAAGGTATTAAAATTTGTATAAATAATAATGTACACAAACTTCATTTGAAAAAGTACTAAAGATTATTGAACTTGTTTTCAATATTAGCAACTTTAAATAATTACAAAATAATAACTTTAAAATAAAAAATAATTAAAAAGAATCGATCTTCTTTTTAAATATTTAAACAATACACATACATACACATGTTATTTGACTTTTTAAAGGTTACTAAATTTAACATTGTTACAAACAAGAAAAAATTATTTTTAAATGAAAAATGTTTAATAATTTATTAAACAAAACCACAAAGAAAAAAATACAAATCTCCTAATTTATTATCAACATCATTATAATTTAATACACATGTTGAAACAATCATCATAATAAATTATAACAAATTATGCAGACAAAAGAAACAAATATATAAAGTTTATAACAAACTGACAAAATTTGAATGTTTACTAATAAAACATAAATTTACTACAGATTTACTACCACTACTACTATTGCTATTTTTTATATTTTATTGTTTTTTTTTAACAATTTACAAATAAGGGGAGAAACCTAACTGACTGCCTGCCAGTCAGTCAGACTGTTTGTCAGTTTGTCTATCTATCACTCAATATTGGTGTTTATGTCCATCTAAAGTTTAAATATTTTTTACACATTTTTTTATGCTTAAATTCCATAAATTTTTTTAAGCTTCATTAATTACAATTATTATTTCATTATTTTTAATAAATTGTTTTTATTTTTTCATTAAGTTTTATTTGTTTTTTGTTTGTTATTAAATATTTGTGGTTGTGGTGTGTAGGCTTGTGGTGCGTGCTGTTGTTTGGGCAAGAGATTTCAATTGTGTTAATCACTTATGAATGGGTCTTTATGGTGTTGACCATATATATTTCTAGAAATTTTTTTTTAAGTTTTTTAAAAGTTTTTACATTATTATTCAAAGTTTATACGTATTGACAGTGACATTGTTGATTGGTTCATTGTCGCGATTTTTTTTTTTTTTGTCAATGGATTTGATGAGGATTTTCTATAATTTATTACATTTAATATTAATGTTTGAATTTATGGTTGTTGGTTTTTAAGGGGTTTGAGACTGTTCTAGATCTTTGGGATTTAAACAAGAATTTAATAGTTCTTGTTTACATATTAGAGAAATTGGACTAAAAGTGAATGAATTTTAGTACTAAAAAGTTTAAGATTGCTGCCTTTAAAACTTAAAATTATTAAAAACTATTTTTTAGTACTAAAAAAGTATCATAAACTGTTTTAAGTACTAAAAAGTACTAAACATTTTGAAAATGTTTTAATTACCTAGTCTTAAGTCCTTTAAAACATAAAAAATTGGTTTTAGTACTAAAAAGTCTTAAAACTTTTAAATATTTAGTACAGTTTGTAATGTTATTAGAAGTATTAGACTTAGTTTTTAGTACTAGAAAGTTTTGAAAACAGTAGTATGATTTGTTTTTAGTAGTAGAAATCATATAAAGTACTAAAGTGCATAAAACTATTCAAAACTGGTTTTAGTACTAAAAAGTTGTGAAAAATCTTACAACTTTAAAGTTTTTAGAACAGTTTTGTAATGTTAAAGGTATTAGATACTGTTCTTAGTACTAAGTTTTTGTGGAAAGCAGTACTTTAATTTGTTTTTAGTAGTAGAAAGCATTTGAAGTACTAAACTACATAAAACTATTCAAAACTGGTTTAAGTACTAAAAAGTTGTAAAAAGTCTTACAACGTTAAAGTTTTTAGAACAGGTTTGTAAAGTTAAAGGTATTGTTGGAACTTATAAGTTTCAAATTCCAAGTACTAAAATACACAAAACTATTAAAAATTTGGTTTTTGGTACTAAATTTGTAAAAAATCTTAAAGCTTCAAAATATTTCAAACAGTTCTTAGAGTAAAGGTATTAAAAACAATATTTAGTACTAGGTAATATTGAAAACAGTTTTTAGTACTAAAAAGTACTTTAAACAGGCACCAAATTACCGCAAACCTTATTCGATTCAAAATTCAAAATGTTGCTCAATTTTACTCGATTACGTGTGAGGTAATTCGATCCCAGCTTTTAGTACTAGAAAGTTTTAACTGTTTTAAGCATCAAAGCTGAAATTTTGTGGCAAATTACTAAAAACTATTAAAAATGAGTTTTTGTACTAAAAAGTTCAGAAAAGTAACTTTCAAAAACAATTAACCGCTTTTTTAGAATATAAGTACTATTTTTTAGTTTCTCTAATTACTCAAAAGTGTTTATAGAGTTTTTTAAAAATTTAGTACCAAAACTAATTTTTTATAGTTTTAAGTAGATTTCCAAGAAAACTACTTTTTAGTACTTAAACAACTAAACTTGTTTATAGTAATTTTTATTACTAAACTGTATTTAGTACTAAATGTATTTATTGTACATAATTTATTAATATTAAAAACAAATTCGAGTACTAAGTATAGTTTAGAATTATAAACTATTAAAATTTTTAGTACTAGAAATAATTTGCATAATAGGAAATATATTTAGTACAAATCAAAAGTTTAATAAAACTATTTTTAGACCTACATTTTTTTAAGTAAGTTTTTTAGTACTACTTTGTTTTTAGTACTAAACATATTTTTAAGTACTAAAAATATTTTTTAGTACATTATGTTTTTTCTAATAATTATTTTTTTTATAGAAAATTTATTTAGTACATACTTTTAATACTAAAAATATTTTTCTTTAGTACTAAAAAAACTTTTTCTATTGAATATTTTTAAAGCGTTTTTAGTACTAAAATAGGTTTCGCTACTAAATTTTACAAAAAAGAAATGAATTTTCAGAAATTCTTATGACTTTTGAAACAAAATTTGGAATTAAATCAAGTTTTCCTTTGAAAATAAAGTCCTTGAAGATTAATTCCAATAAAAAAATTTCTGAAATCAAACCAAAAATTTGAGAAAAAATATTTTTTTATTTAATTTAAAAACTATTTAAAATTCAATTAATTAACTAAAATTTTTTTAATTTCATTTTTAATTTGTAGAAAAAGTTGTAGAAAATTTTTTAAATATTTAAGAACAATGAAATTCCCTTTAGTTTTCGAATTCAGAATTAAGATTTTAAAGCATTAAGCTAAAATTAAAAAGAAATATTTAAAAGCTTAACTTCTAGAACAAATTGTTTTAAAGAAAACTTTTATAATTCCAATATTTGTGTTATATCTGAGAACTTTTTTTCTTTTTCATATTTTTCTTCGCACACAAAATCATCAAATCCACCAAATAACTAAAATAAAATATTTAATTAAAAAAAAAAATCTTGCAATTTATGTTTGTCATCATCCACTATTATGTCATCATCATCATTGCATTTAGCATAAAATTATTATTAATAATAATAATGTTGCACAATACTTAGTTGTCATTATTATTGTTGTTGTTGTTTTCATTATTTGTTGCATGATTGACACATATATATTTTTTTGTTGTTGTCAAGAATCGTATTTTATTTTCATTAAATTTTTGTTTGTCTTTTTTTTTTTTTGATATTTCTAAACAAAAATTGTAAATTATGATAGTAAATATGAAACCAACTAAAGTTAAATAAGATAAACACACACAAATACACACAACAAACAAACGGCAGCAGCAGCAGCTAACAACCACTAATAAATAGGAAAATACAAAAGACTTAAGCAACAAACTTGTTTGACATATTGAAACATTTTTCATTTCATACTGTGAGATAATAATTTTTCTTATATTTTTTGTTAGATTTTCTTTTTTAAATGTTTTAAAGTCTTTTTTGATACACTTTTTTTAAAGAAATTTCAACACTTTATTTTTTTATTTAAAAAAACAGTTCTTTAAAAATTGTTTTTCTTGTATTTTTTGTATATAAAATTGTTTATATTTTATAATGTCTCTTTTTTGGGGGGGTTTTAAAATCAAGGTAATCCATAATAATCCATTTTTATTGTATTGAGTAATTATTAATAACTGGTTGTTATCCTTTTGTTGTTTAACGTTGAGAGGGGTTATTAGCTCCTTAGCTTCTTCTTACCTTGGGCTTTAATACACTTAAACACACTGTGAGTCGGAGTTTTTTTGCTTTTTTATTTGTAAATGACCGGGTTTGGTAGTAACAACCAAACGCTGATACTGGCGAACGAAAACAAAAATCAATTGCGAGGCGCAAAGTATTTTATAGCCACTTATATTGTTACTCATACTTAAACACGAAAAAAAACGTTAACACACATACATGTCTAAAACAAGTTAAGAGCATGCACATGATAATGTTGCTGATAATGTTGTTTTTGCTGTTGTTATAGTGTGTGTTTTTTGTTAATATATATATATTTTTTTTTTGTTATTTTTTTATATTGAAGATGGTTGTTGGAAAAAAAACCCACTATAATATCATCTTCTTTAGTTTAAGTTAAAATAGCAAAAATATTGTTTTTGTTTATTTGTATTAAAATGTATGAATAAATATTTTAAACATACATTCATATCAGACAAATTGTTTAAAAGTATTGGTGAGTTTTAAGAGTTCTCAGTGTATTTGTGTTAGTTTTACAATATGTAATTGTTTATATCATTAGCATGATCTTAGTTTAAGATCAATAATCATAATAATGAAAATGTTTTCTTTTAGCAACAAAAACACACAAAAATCTTAATTATTAAATAGTAAACTCTTGAAAAATCTTAATTGTTATTAAATAAATTTATTATTTTCTTTATAAAAATCTATTTTTTTATTTTATTTTTTTTTTAAATTTCATAGAATATTCTCAAGTTTTATTCTTAAATTTAAAAATACTAACAAATAAAAAAATAATTAATATAATCATAATTTAAAGAAGCAACAACAAACAAATATTAATACTTTAATGAAATTAAATGAATATATTAATATTTATTAGTTGTATTTGAATTTTTTTTTTATTTTTTTAACATTAAATTGTCATAAAATGAATATTCAATTTTATTTTATAATTTATTTAAACAATTTTTAAATTAATAAATTGTATATCGTGACCCTATATTCAAAAAGTGCGAACTCAATTTTGGGCAAAGTGAGTTTTTGATGCAAAAGGATTCCTCAATGCATGATCCACGTCTGGTATAAATTTGAAACCAAAAAAGTAATTTTTGCACTTTTAACAACAATTTTTGTTAATATGCTATCTCAAAGTTAAATTTTTATTGAAGAAAATAAGTGCTAACTTCCATACAAATTTTACAACATTTTTTAAAACTTCAAATTTATTTAAAATTTATTTTGTATATTAACAAGATGAACATGCTGAACACAAAACAGGTGAAGATTAATAAATTGAATGTATAGTTTTTAAGATATGATCATTTATATAATTGTATATAAAGCCAGTTTTATACTTTAAATAATGTTTTTCCGAAAATTGTAAAGTTATTTCAGAAATCGTTTATAACACTAAGATCTATAATATTCTATGGTTCCAATTTAGAATTTTGATTATAAAAAAGTCTTTAAATGTGCAAATTATGGAGTATTATTCAAAAAATATTGGTACTTTTTATATTCAAAAACTTTTCATAATTTAAAATATTTGTACTGAGAATAAGGAATAGTAAACAAGCAGATATGCCATGAGTTTTTCTACTTAAATGGTGTAAATGCATCTTATTGGACTTACTGGTTTGACTTATATCCCTTTAAAAAAACATTTCATAAAATTATAAAATAACGCATATTATTAGAAGAAATTTTTGTTCTATTCTTTGAACAAAACATGCTAACTTAGAACAAATATTTGTTTTTTTGTCGACCAAAAAGTGCTATCTTAAATAAGTCGCTAAAATGTGCAAAATATTAAAATTTTTTCATAGGTAAGAATTAGTAAGGATGTTAAAAACGTATTATGGAAGAAATATTTTCTTTTAGTGCAATATTTCACGAATTAAATAGTTTTTTTGCTTTCCTGAAAACTAGACTTTATTGATTTAGCACTTTTTGAATATAGGGTATCGATATATTTTTTCAAATGCAAACAGCATCAAACAAAAAACACCCCTCCCACAAAAGACAACATTATGTTTCATTTTTTCTTTAATTTGTTTAGTTTATCAGTGCTATAGTAATTAAATATTTATAATTTTCCTATAAATTTTAATCCTTAAACTTAAGTTGACATGTAGTTACTTAAGTTTTAATTACATCCCAGCAAAAAAAGTGTGGAAAAAGATGTAGAATTTTCATCACAACTAGTAACCCGAAGTGCTTCAAATTCGGGTGTAAAACCTATGAATTTTACATTAGCGTGTCATTGGAGGGATGTTGTTCATTTTTGGCAGCTTTGAACTACATCTGATCTTATTTTTAGAAGCAGTAAAAATTCGATATTTGGATGTCAAAAATAAAACACATTCTCTTAATGACACGCTTATGTAAATTTCACTACTCTTTCACCAAATCTTGATATACTTCAAATATGTTATTTGTAATGACTTTTCCACATCTCTTTCCTCACTTTTAACTGGGGTTTCATTTGTAAGGAAATATTTGGTTTATAAAAGTGAAAAATATGTAATCGCATTTTAAGATGTGATTAAGATGTAGTTTGTAAAGTATGACATCAATTATTTTTTGCTGGGATGTTGCTTGGGGGGTGACAAATATTGTCAGAATGTTGGTTAAATCACTTATCATGCTTAACTGAAGTCAAAGTTTAATTGACAGTTCGCTAAATGCTATTAATTTATGATAATTTTGCCTTTCTTTTTAATAAAGAGATACCTCTGAAGTACTCAAAGTTTAGATTTATTTTCTTATTAAATAATTAAAATTTTATGCCCTTCACCTTCTTGAGAAGGGTAGATATCTATCTATCTATCTATCTATCTATCTATCTATCTATCTATCTATCTATCTATCTATCTATCTATCTATCTATCTATCTATCTATCTATCTATCTATCTATCTATCTATCTATCTATCTATCTATCTATCTATCTATCTATCTATCTATCTATCTATCTATCTATCTATCTATCTATCTATCTATCTATCTATCTATCTATCTATCTATCTATCTATCTATCTAAGTAGTATAAATAAAATATTTAGATAATAAAATATACAGAACTCTGAGTCATTATTTTCTAGAATGACTCACAATTTTCAAGTTCTATTGTTTTTCTAGTGAAAACCTCAAGTAGCTTTTTTAGACAAATATTACTCAAACCACCCGCAGTTCTTTTTATATCATTTTAAAACACTGAAAAATGGATCACCTACTTACACGTCCACTTATAACAGACTTAATTCAAAATTAAAAAACATTTTAGAAATATTAATATTAAACCCCAAAAAGATGTTGTATTTTAATATCTGATGGGTAGAATATCGAAAGTGGGTTGTGGGGGGATGGGTATTGCCTATAACATTAGATCCTGTAGAGTAGCCAAAAGCCATCTTAATATCTTTATTCTTTTTAATTACAGTGACCATACAATAACATGACCCGCAGGTCTACTGAGATGGCAAACAATAAAAACATGCCGATCGCAAATCCCAACCATTTAGGAAAGCTTGGACATCATTGCTTGAGGTGAGTCAATATTTAACTTAATTCTATGCAACAATCTTTCTATCTTTAGTTCAGTATCAGAACCAACCTTTATAACCCAATCTCCCGTTCACTTCAGTCCTTGTCAGTCATTGCTAATCGATCGAACCATTCTTATGATATGCGGACAGTGTGAAATCGAAGAGAATCGCTTTAGCTATTTAATGAGGCAAAGAGAATAGGAATGTAACTCATATAATTCCTCAGTAAATAGATTCAAATTCAGAAACAGACCACCCTGGTGGTCAGAGACATTGCGAATTCTCGAAGAGCATCACGTAAGCTATTTAATGTCTAAATATATTAAAAAATCAGCTAAGAAACGCAAATCTTGGAAAACTTTCTCTAGTAGTGTAGACTACCTCCCCTTTCTCGAGTTTTACACATAAACCATGTAACAGTGTGACTACCAGTGGGTCCCTCCGTAGGTTTATTGGTAGTGTTGTAGTCTGTCAATACGGTGTTTGTAGATTCGATTGCCACCAGAGACTTTGGTAAATAAACGCACCATAGTCCTCTCTTGTTAACTTTCAATTTAACTGGACTGTCACTGGACATGAAATACAAACAGTTCTCTCGGCTATTCATTTCCTATTTTCCATTTCTTAATTTTTCAGAAAAATCTATTTTTTCACTAAAAATCTAATTTTTCACTAAAATTCTGATTTTTCTCTAAAAATCTGATTTTTCACAACAAAATATCTTACTTTACTAAAAATCGAGTTTTTCACTAAAAATCGTATTTTTCACTAAAAATTTAATTTTTCAATAAAAATCGATTTTTCAATAAAAATCTGATTTTTTTACTAAAAATAAAATTTATCCCCAAAAATTAAATATTTCACTAGTAAAATAAAAAATTTCACTAATCTAATAAAAAATTTAAAACTAAAATTTTATTTTTCGAAAAAAATATGAAAGTTTGCAACTTCTAATGAATAATATGTCATCACATCCGTTATAATTTCAAAATAACAAAATAACAACATGTTTCAAATTACACATGTCTTTAAAAAGTAATTATAACAAAGGTTTAAAATAAACTAGTTTTGAGGGTCATATTACAAATAGTTCTTAAATTAAAAAAAAAAAAAAAAAAAAACACTTTTTAACCAAGTTTTAAAACATAATTTGTGGTCTAATTTTGAAATATGTACAAACATAATAAAAAATGTACGTGTTAAGAATAACCAATTATTGCAGAGTTACAAGAGTGTTGGGTGTAAATTGACGCTTTAAAACAAAAATTTATTTATTTGTCAAGACTGAAGCAACAAACATTTTATTAATAGTAATAGCACACGGTACTAAATAAACACATTTAAATGTATCTACGTGCAATTTATATGTTGTTGTTTTTTTCATGTTTTATTACAAAAACAGCAACAACACACAAAGTGTTGCATTCGAAACCCTTTAAGTGTCTATAAAATGTTTGTTAATGATTCTTGTGTCATTTTTTATTTTTATTTCTTGTTTTATTTATTTATTTATATATTTTTGCATTTTTTTGTTTCTCTATTTTATTTTTTAATCATAAAATACTAAATACAATAAATGAACTCTTCTTCCACTTGTAAAGCCAAAGTTAAAGTTAATTTTATATATTTTGTATGAGAAATC